AGGTTGGTGTTACCAACCGGGACTAAAGGTGGACCGGCCACGTGGAGGGCCTTTAGTCCCGGTTCCTGAACCGGGACTAAAGGGTCGGTACTAATGCCCCGACCCTTTAGTCCCGGTTCAAACCAGAACTAGTATCCTTAGGCGTCAGGTCCTTGCATATATACTGAATGTCATGTATAGACAAACCGTTAGGATCGACATCCTTAGTGGGAATGACATCCCACCATGCTTACTATGTGTAGAATTCCAAAATATGTAAAACCTGCTCACACAAGTCTTACAAATCACACATATTTCTCAATTTTAGAGATTTATGCAATTATTAATTTTTTGTTTACTAGAACATTCACTATGTTTACAAGGTAGAAGATCATTTGACGTCAGCAACATCAAAGTTGTAAATATTTCTAAACTTTGCATCTTTTTTTTTTGTGAAGCCTCTCGACTACAGTACAGTTGTAGTATCTGAACTCACGCACTAACACACACCACACTCACACCTCACGCACACACACAACCCCAAGAGCGCAAGCTAGACCTACAAATATATACCATATACCGCGTACATATATAACTACAGGGCAGGGCCCTGCGGCAACGGGCACCACATTGCAATATAGCCATTATACATCAGACGCGGGAGAGGCGCAGGCAGCTGACCACACACGGGGGCAGCTGAAATTATTAGGGGATAAAGACCCCCGGTGAGACAGCCCAAAAATCGTCCCCAAAGGGGATCGAACCTAATGTAAAGTTTGCATCTTGAGAACTTTTTATGTAAAGTTTGTTGACTAATGTAAACACCAATTTTTTGTAACCATTACATTTCCTAAGCAAAATGTATTTGTTATTGTAAGCTATTTATTTTTGTCACGAAAATTAATATCTAGATTGTGTACAAAAACATCGGTACTCATTTGGGTAACTTGTAGTTCTTTGATGCTAATGGCTTCCCATGCCCATTGAGGATGAACCCTTCAGATCACTTCTTAAGGATGATAAACATAGACTTTGAGGTACGAAATTGATCTCTTGTTTTATTTATACTTTTAAAGTTTAACTTCAATGAAATTCAAAGGCATATACATCATATTTCCATAGGAATTTGGGGAAGAATCTACTGTTAATGCGCCGCATGCTGCAAAAGTAATCCAGACTTTGGTTGGTTCTTTTGGGTCTGTTGCTATCTTAGACACTGAAATGGAAGGAAGGCAGATAAATCAGGTTTCTTCTTTATCTAGACTAAGATGATGCATTAGGTTGAGTTTGAAGTATATATGTCTCACTCATATGCTTCATGTTTATATGGTTTATGATCCTGCAGGGCGACTATGTAGTTCAACAAAGGCAAGCTACATTCTTGACAAAATTAGTTGTCCTAACCAAAAGATCAATGATAAACATGCACAGAGACATAGGCTATTATTGGTTGCGCTTTGGTATCTACATGGCACTTTTTCTAACCATTGGGACAATTTTCTTCAATGTTGGTCACAATTATTCATCAATCCAAGTAAGTCGTTGATTTATAATCTATACGATGAAGCAACAAAAACAACAACTAGTAACTATTTCTTGACCCTTTAAGGCACGAGCATCCATGCTTATGTACACATCCACCTTTATGACAATGATGGCAATCGGTGCTTTTCCATCATTTGTCGAGGATATGAAGGTGGGGAACATTATCCTTTCTTACACATATCTACTTTGTGTTTGTGATTTTGTGTTACATGATCGTTTGTAAAATGTAGGTATTTGAGAAAGAAAGGAGGAGTGGACACTACGGGGTCACTGAATTTGTCATAGCCAACACACTTTCATCAACTGTATACTTGGGCCTCATCTGTGTGCTACCTGCTATAATTGCTTATTACCTAACTGGGCTTCAAAGAGGAATAGGACACTTCTTCTTCTTTGTTGCAACACTATGGGCTTGCACAATGTTGGTTGAAGGTTTGATGATGATTGTTGCAGCCATCGTACCTGATTTTCTCATGGGTATAATCACAGGATCTGGAGTACAAGGGTTGCTAATGCTAAACGCCGGTTTCTTCAGGCTTCCAAATGACCTCCCAAAACCAATATGGAAGTACCCAACTTACTACATATCCTACCACAAATATACAACTCAAGGACTGTACAAAAATGAATTCTTGGGCTTGGTGTTCCCAAATTTAGCTGGTGTCGACGGAGTCATCACTGGTCAATATATCCTGAAGAACAACTTTCAAGTGGAGTTAGGCTACTCGAAGTGGGTTGATCTTGCGATATTACTTGGAATGGTCATTATCTACAGGGTAATTTTCCTGGTTATTATAAAGGTTTTCGATGTGGCAAAACCAATGATAAAATCCTTCATGATAAAAGTGTAACTATTACTATATGTATGTAGTTTTATATAAGGTAACAAGACATGTTTTATTTGAATCATATATGTATGTAGTTTGCATAGATAAAAGCATAGATATTGAGATAGTAGTATTCCTTGTATGTTTATTTTCTCTTGAATAAATCACCACTATATTCATTAGTCGAGGGTATTTCCCAAGGTAGCTAGCAACAATAACATTTTTTTCTAGGAGTGGCATATTTTAGATGCCATAGAAGCTAGCTTAGGAGGACAATGTTATCCCTAGCTGACCAGGGCTCAAATCCCGGTGTTCGCATTTTTCTGAATTTATTTTAGGATTTCCGACTATGCGCGTTTAGTGGGAGGAGACGTTCCTGTCGACTACGAGGTGTCTATGGTAACTTCGTAAAATCACAATATGATATGCCGGTTCAGTCTCGTGCTCATAGGGATAGGGTGTACGTGTGTGCGTTCATAGGGATGAATGTATGCGCGTGTATATGAGGGTTTACGTGTTAAAAAAATACTAAACCCGCAAAAAACGGTAATACTACTACGTTCCAGACCCAAGTGCAGCAGGCCACAATGCAGATGTTGTGCCGTGTGTTTCGGGAGGCATTATGGTCGGCCCATATATGGAGGCCGATTGGCCTAAAAAAAGCTAGGTAGCGCAAGGTACCTGCAAGGCTGCCGGCCTAAAAAAACTTGCCTAAGACCGAGCAACCTACCTAATTGATGCCTGAATCGGTGGATTCTATTTCTATCCTAGATGGGTGAATTTTAAGATTTGACAAGTGTTCTAGGCCATTTATAGACATACCACAGATTGTGCCCGAAACCTGGCTAGTGCCTCAATCAACTTGTGTGCTTGGTTGGGCCTTCCTTGCTGTTAGAAATAAATGAGCTAGGCCCATTAATAAGAAATCTCAAATTGAAGAGGCCATGAAGAACTATTTGGACCTGCAAAAGAAGAAGCTCCCGGTCGATAAAGAAAATGCCTGGTCAAGAGCCAAGGAAGTGGAGGTGAAGCAGAAGGAGTTGGAGCTCACGCTAATCTCCAAGGAAGTGAAGATCATGGGGACCGACACAAACAAGATGACCCCAAAAAAGAAGACTTGGTTTGGGAGGAAGCTAAAGTTTGTGATGGACCAAGATGCATGATCATCTCTTATTTGCTTGTTTTTCATGAACTATGGCCGAGATGCAGGAACTATGCCCGTGCCACTTGTGGGGCTTGTGTGGTTCTTTTGGTGCAATGCTGTATGCCGGCAGGGTATATGGTACTATGCAAACAAATGCTAGATGACTTGCTATGTTTGATGATGAAATATGTTTATTGAAGATAAGAAAAACGGCCAAGCGAATCAAATGGGCTAGGACAAGGGGCGGACGACGCCCCTACTGTCGACCAAATAAAACGGATAAAAAGCGGATAATGTCTGCATTGGTCCGCCAGTTAGAGTTGGCCTCCAACCAGTGTGGATGCTCTAAGGCCCTTTTACATGCAAGATGCTTAAGAGAGGTGTTTAGAGAAATAAATCAATTTTTCTATAAGCACCGATGCTTGTTTATAGAGGAGAGATGAGTAATAGCTAAGCACTGAAGCATCTCTCATTGTAGCCCTCCGTTTCTTTTTAGTCCGCGTATTAAATTTATCAAAGTCAAACTCTTCAAAGTTTGATCAAACTTATATTAAAAGATATAAACATCGGCAATATCAAATAAATATAATATAAACTTGATCAAACTTCGAAGAGTTTGACTTGGAACAAAACCAATACATGGAGTAAAAAGAAACGGAGGGAGCAAAGCAAACCCGATCTTTTGCTCACGGTCCAGTTTTAGTTGTGTCAGACGGTTGTACCTATGTAACTATGTGCTACGTACATCTATACTAATCTACAGGAGGACATATGTAATCGAGCTACTAGTAGTCACGAGCGGAGTAACGCGCAAAGCGCCAGTGGAGACGACACTCGTCTCTGGCTTGCCTTACTGTTCACTCGCAAGTGGGAATAAACAGGTACGCAACCATAAGCTGATCAGCTCACTCTCAGCAGCTGCCAGCTCCTGACCGTTTTTGTTAACGCACTACGGCAACAAAAGCGCACCACGAGAGCTCGTCGCACTACTTGTCACCGCGGGATAAACAATTGCCGACATGGCACGCCCATCCGTTTCGCCGTTGCGTTATGATTTGCGTCTCTTTTCCACAGCACTAAGCGCTGCACTAAAGCTTGTTTTTGGACGCACTAACTACCATGGGGGTCTGTTTCAGAGGGGGAAAAACCGCGCGTAATGATTTTAGCCCGCCAGAAAAGCGTAAAGGTTCTTCATCGATCATTTTTTTTCAAAAAGGGAGGACTCCATCATAAGGCGATCTTTGTAACACTACCCCGGGTAGAAGTTTCCCAGTGACAGAAGATTTGCAGGACTGGACAAGACTAATTATAGTGAAGTAATTCAGATGATCCAGCGGCTCAAAAGAAATATCAGTTGATCCAGATTAAGTTTAAACTCGGGTTGAAATTAATGGACGCTGGTAGCACAGTGGTACGTCCACTTTCTGAGTGACTATATAAATAGGTGTTGTCCTATAGCTGAAGCAAGAAGCCAGAGGAATCAAAGCTCCGACGCGCCCCGACAAATGGCATCTACGGTGGCTCTCCTCCTCGTGGCCGCGCTGGCGTGCGTGCTCGGCGGCGCCGATGCGAAGCTCGGCAGGCTCGTCGTCAGCGGCGTCGTGCCGTGCAAAACCGGCAGCCTCATCGACATCGCCACCTCCCCCGTGTTCCCGAGTACGTACGCTACACATGCCTTGCTGAATCTCGGCGACAGCGACACACATCTGGCTAGGCTAAATCGATCTGTTATATGCTGTGCAGACGCGGAGGTGGAGCTGCGGTGCGCGGGGCAGGTGGTGGCCGGCGCGACGACGAACACCAACGGGTCGTTCACGATGGAAGCGGACCTGACGAGCGCGCTGGCGGCGTTCATCGGCCGGTGCTCGCTGGTGGTGGACACGCCGCTCATCAAGTGCGACGCCCAGCTGCCGCCGGTGGGGAAGCTCGTGTCCTACCTGCAGGGCCCGCTCACCAGGCTGCTCGGCGGCATCTTCCACCTCTTCCCCGCCGGCTTCTCCTTCCACAGCCGATGAACTTAGTAGTTCATTGCGTCGTCGGTCCAACGATGTCAGCACACTGAGATCTGGTTAATCACCTCTTCTCTTGTCTATCTTTAGTTTGGTTTGAAATGAAAATGTATGGCAAGTTGCAGGAGCTGCATACGCTTGACGTAAGTGTCGTTGTAAGTTGGCTAAGTTGAGCAACTGGATGGATAATCGTTTCTCGAATACGTACGAGTGTGCATATTCTGGCTGGATAATCGTATTTCATAGGGTTAATTTGATAAATGCCACTCCAAATCTGGCGATTCCGAGAAATGCCACTGCAATTTCTAAACTTTGAAAAATGCCATTTCATGCCATTTCCAGTGGCATTTTTCAAAGTCTGGAGTAGCATTTTCAAAGTTTGTAAAAATTGCAGTGGCATTTTTCAAAGTTTGGAAATTACAGTGCCATTTTTATGAATCGCCATAATTGGAGTGGCATTTATCTAATTAACCCTATTTCATAAATCTGGGTGCTAAAGTTCAAGTGAAGATCATCTTAGCCGGCATTTTTTTTTGAATTGTTTGGATTGCTTGCCATACGTGGCATCTTTTTTTTTTGAATGTCGGCCCTTTATTGACTAAAAAACAAAGTCATACAAAGCCTCCTGGATACACTCCGGAGCAGAATTGAAAACACAAAGACCAAAAGAGTTAAAACAAGACCTAGCTAAAACATGAGCCAACACATTACATTGCCGACGAACATGCAAAAACGAAACCGAGGAGAAGCCTAGAGTTGCCATCTTGATATCATCAATGACGGAACCAACAACAGAACGATCGTGGGCTTTGGATTTCAGCCTTTGCACCAAAGAGAGGCAATCAGTGGCAAAGATCACATGGAAAAGGTGGTCCTCTCGCGCCATGTCAACTGCTCTGCGAAGAGCCAAAGCTTCGGCCATCTCGGGTGTGAGAGAACCAGACAACACTTCGGTACATGCCTTGATGCATTGACCCATATGGTCCAGAGCTACTACACCAGCCCCAGACTTGTTGAAGTCATGAAATAAAGCCGCATCAGAAAAAAACATAACCGTACCTGGAGGCGGTGGAGACCAATTATAGCTAGAAGCAATGGTCTCACATCTATTCACAGGAACAGGCTTGTAAATATGCTCGAATATCATGTCAACATAACCACGAATTTTGCTTGCAGTACTTCGCGGAGTAGGAACTTCAGGAGTATTTCGAGCCAAATTTCGAGCATCCCAGATGTGCCAAATGGATACAGCCATCACAGTTGCCTCACGATCTGTGCAACGAGACAAAAAATCAAAAAGCCACTGTTTTGGAGACCTGAATTCACGACGGCGCAGCTGGACATGAAAGAAATTCTTCACTTCATCCCACACATTTCTTGCATAATGGCAGAAGAGCAAAGCATGCTCGATACTCTCTATTCGGCCGCAGAAAGCACATGCAGTAGGAGCAGGAACATTGCGTCTACAAAGCTGTTCCCCGGAAGGCAAACAGTTATGCGCAAGAC